GCTTCTGGGACTTTCTTCTCCGGATCGTGGTTGGGTTCTCCGGCGAATTTGGCTTCGCCGTTCTATTTTGCTTGTAAAATAAATAATTAAATAATTAAAAACAATTAAATAAAAAAATACATAATAAAAAAATTAAATAATAAAAAAATTCAAAAAAAAAAAAATTGACTTGATGATAAAAATAAAAATAAAAACTTGCATTGATAAAAATAAATAAATAAATAAATAAATAAAAAGAAGTTGAATTGATGGTTTAAAAAAAAAAAAACAAAAAACAAAACAAAACAAAAATAAATAAAAAATAAATAACAATTAAATTGTTGATTAAAATAAAAATAAAAATTGGGGAAGTTTGGTTATTGAATTTTGTTAGTTGATTTGCAGATTTTACAGTTGTTAAAAATAAACAACAACAAAATAAATAAATTAAAAAAAAATAATTAAAAAAAACCAATTCAGTAGATTTTGCAATAGGGTTTTTATTTATTTATCTATTTCTTTTCAAATAAATAACAAAATAAAAACTAAAGAAAAAAAATTTTCAAAGTCGCATTTCGTCTTACTAAAGACGTTAAACTTAGCTCATTTTATTTATTTATTTATTTTTTTTGTAGGTTGTATATATATGTTCTTTTTCTTTGTTTATTTAAAAAAAAAAAAAAATAATCAAAAAAAAAAAATAAAAAATTGGTGTTACCATTATGCCTCTCTGCATGCATGTTTTCATTTTTGTTTCAAGGGCTTCATCTTATATATCTTTCCATCATATTTTATATTGTCTAGAGTGTATGATTCTTATTCCATTTGATATTTGATGTGAGTTGCTAGTGTGGTTTTTCAATAGGTTTTTGAATCCAAGTTTGGGGGAGGCTTTTTTTCTACTGGATACTTGCCGGACTTCCTCATCTTTGCCATCACGGTATACTCTTTCCATCAATTTTCATTATTCTCATTGTATATTGAGGACAATGTACAATTTAAGTTTGGGGGTAAGGTCATCATGCTTCATTCTATTTTAAATTGAGCTTTAAATGCATGATGCAATTTAAAATGTTTTGGCAATGATTTTGAACTTTTGAAGTACAATGCCTTTGAAAAACAAGTTGTTAGAGTTTAATACTTCTTGTATGCTCTAGGATGCCATTTAGGGGTAAATTTTTAATTTTTGATATCATGTTTGCTCTTGTGGTACACATCATCTTGTTGGTTGAAAATGCTTTAAGAGTTGATTCTAGAATTTTACACTTGCACTTGCGCACACTAGCATTCAATTTGTGGGATACATGCTTAGTTGATTATTGTCTTGGTTTATCCCAATTGAGCTAGTATGTTCTGAAAGCTTTCATTCTTGATAAAATGACCTTGCAAAGAAAAGAAATAAAAGTACTCACCAAAAGTGAGGAATAAAAAAAAAAAAAAAAAAAAAAAAAAAAAAAAAAAAAAACTGTATTATTTTAACATGTCAACTGATTAAAAAGGAAGACAAGGGAAGAATGTAAGATGTATGATTGGTTTGAATTCGTAGCCTAACCATTCCGAGTCATTACGCCCTTAGGAGTGTCTTTACACCTAACGCCCTAAGATCATTTGGTTTGGGAGTCGTTGGCTCAACGCTTGTTACATGAGGTGATTAGAGAGTTTAAGGAACTTGGACATTGCACATGGTCATACATAAAATAAAAAAAAATAAAAAAAATGAAATCAATAAAAAAAAAAAGAATGTTTGATTGAATAACAAGGTTCATTCAATGTCTTGAGGATTGGTACTATATCTGTATGCTAGTTTGAGGGGAAGGCTACGCCATTACTTTGATGTACTAGGATAGCAACACATTTTGATGCTGGTTCACTAAAAAAGAATGATATAATTGATTCAATTTGCATGATTAATTGCTTGATATGTGGAGGACCATTCTTGCTTACATGATGTTGAAATGTTGAGAATAACTTAGAAATGGCAGAATTTGCATACTTGAGGTAGTCTACTTTCAATACTTGTTTAATATGTGTCGTTACTTCTCAAGTAAGAAAGAACTTTTGATGTTTGTGGGTACCATTTCTGGAAACCCTCACGAGACTTCACTCGTCCACTAGGGATAACTTAGGGGTTTAAAAGGCTTGTTGCATATGCTAAAAGCAACTGTGATCCCTACAAAAGTGGTGTTATCTTTATTTGTTTTATTAGTTCATTATTGTATATATGTTTATTTCATTTCCATGCTGTAGTTCATTGCTAGGGACTAGCAATATCTAAATTTGGGGGCGTGATAAGTGCTTAAATGTTGCACATTTCAGCACCTAGGTTAGGGTACTTCAGTTTTTGCATCTATCTTAATTTCATGGTTTAGTCCTAATTTATGTTTATGTGTATTTCAGGGTAATAAAGTTAAAATGAGCTAATTTTGGTTCACTAAAGCCTTTTTGGAGTCAAACAAAGATATTCAGAAAAAACTCAGAAAATGGCAAAAAGGAGGTCGAAGCCCATTGCTCATATAGTGTGTTTATTCTTCAAAAGCGGTCAATCTCTGGCCTTTGATGATGTTCCCAAAGATGAAGAAGCAAATCAATGAGCTCGGGGCCAAAATGGAGCTAAATAGGACAAAGGAAATTTCCAACTCTTGGGGGATCAATCCCCCAAGGTGGGGGATCGATCCTCCAAGACTTGGCAACATTATAGGATTTTGTTATTGTTTGGGCTTATTTTGTGAACTATTGGGCTTTAATAGGGTTATTACTTATGGCCCAGTGAGCCATTAGTTTAGGGTTAGTTTTTATTTAATTGAAGTGGAAATTATTATTTTAATTATTAAGTTTTATATTCTGTATCGTATATTTTTTTTCTCTTTGGAAAAATACGGGAAAGAGGAGAAAAAACAAGAACAGGCTAAGGTTTTGAGAAGAAGCTCAAAGATGATGAATCCAAGGATGGAGATTGTTTTGTCTTCAACTCCATCAACCATGAGTGGTTAATTCTCCTACTTAGGGTTGGATAAATCCTAAGCATGTAACCTATTCTCTCTCTCTTTTCATACTTTTTGGGGATTTATTTATGTAATTGATGTATAGGCTTGAATAATATGATTTAATTCTTTCAATTGTTTATTCGTATTAATCTCATTTTGTTTTATGTGTTATTGATGAATAAACAAGCTATACACTTGAATTCCTTGTAAATTGATTCTTGTGATGTCTATGCGTGTGGTTAATTAGTTGTAATCGTGTTCAAATTGATGAAAAATTACTTCTATTTGATGGATGGCACTACATGTTTAGATTAATTTATTGTCTAATTAGTTTTAAATTCATGTTTAATTAGTTTAATTTAAGATTAATTAATTTAATTGCAATTCAATTATTAGATAAGTAGACCATCCATACTTATGTTTGAATTCTATATTTTTTTATCACAATTGCATTATCTTCTAGATTAATGTAAGCTAGAATTGTAACTTGAATTGATGGACCATTCTTTGGATTGGTGAATTGCACTACACTTAGTTTATTTGTCATTAGGTATGCAATTCAAGCTTGAAATTGATGCTTCATGCTTTTCTTTGCAAGTATTAGCTACATTATAATTACATTTAATTATTTCTCTAATTAGTTGAAAGTGAGTGAGTTAGGGAATGTGCTTAGTGGTGAATCCTACACCCTAAATCTCTTTCCAATATTTCATACTCTACTCTTTTTTTGCATTATTAAGTTTAAAATTAGTCTAATCACAAAACCAAACCTTTTTAGCAATCACATAAGCACTAAAGTAGAATTCAATTCCAAAAACTTATAATTGTTTAGATCTCTTGGGACGATCCTTGCTCACTTCATACTCCATAGTATAAGTGTTTAGTGGTTTTATAAATTTAAAAATATGGTGCCCACTTAACATTATTTCTAAACCTAAAGTGTTGTGCATTATTTTATGCACATGCTCGGTCGCACCAATGCTTATTGTCTTAATTGCTTATGTGATTTATTTGAATTAATTAGGTGTTTGTGTAGTTAATTAATTGGGTGTTTTATTTGCTAAATTGATGTGTGATTTAATTGTAGTTATTTATTTGGATTAAATTATTTAATTGTTTTATGTTGTATTTTATTTTAAAGGAGTTGGATATAAATAGTAGTAATGGACCAACCCAATAGGTCACATGGACTACTTGGATAGGAGTTGGTTGTGTACGAATGTTTACCTATGGATGGATGTACATATATATATATGAGTATATGTGTATATAATGATTTTATATTCATTAGTATTATAAAAAGTTAATAGTAATTTAACTATAGTCAGATATATATTATATATATAGTTAGAAGGTTATATGGTATATATATATGTATATATGCTTATTCACGTGAGTTTTATAACAGATTTATATATATATATATATATATATATATATATAATTATTTTTATTTTCCTTTTTGCTGATATTTTTCCTTAAGGCAGACTTAGGATTTGATTTGGATTAGGGTTATATTGGATCACTATATGTATAATAGTATAGGTCTGTGGGAGGCTAGGTTTTCATATACGTGATATATTTTATACTTAGAGGCAGAGAGATACATAGAGGAAAACGTGAGGGAAAAGAAGGAGGTTTTGGCCAAGGGTTCAAGGCCAAACCCTAGGAAGAAGAATGAGAGACTGTTCGTGGGGTTAGGACCGAGCAGCAAAAGGTTCGACGGCAATCAAGGTTGCCAGAATCAGAGGAAGAACACAGAGAAGGAGATTTGGGATTTTAAACCTGAAATCCTAAGACAAGTTCTTCTCTTACTCTCTCCCTTTGATCTGTGTTTCTATACATGCCTAGGATATTCCAGGAGACTTAAACAATTAAACTGAAGTATTATGCATGCTTAATTGAACTAAAACAAAGGATTGTATGTTTTTAGTTTCATATTTTTGTTTTGAATGATTCTGGAATTTTTGATGCATAATTGATATTTAAGTTTAATCTTTGCATGTTAAAACATCTAAAATAATTTAGTATGGACGTATGAGACTTAGGTTGAAGCTTAGAGGCTTTAACTATGGAGTTCGAGGGTTTACAGAGGCTGAACAGATGAAGAAGACGACTTCAGCACCAACTCAGCCGACTAAGTTGGAAACTCAACCGACTAAGTTGGGAACTCAGCCTGCTAAGTTGGGAACTCAGCCTGCTCAGTTGGACCGCGACTTGGATGTTGGTTTTAATTGCCCAGAATTATTTTTAACCTATTTTAATTAATTTAAATGGGTTAAAGGAACTTTGGAAGGTTCTAGAATGCATAATACACTTCATATGCTTAAGGAATTGGAGAATACGGATTTATAAATAATTTTTATAAATTATTTAATAGATGGTTAGTTATTTAATTGTTTTAATAATTGAATTAAATGTTTAAAGGACTTTATTCATGATTAGGAGTTTATATTATTTATCTGAAATGTAGGTTAATTAAGTGGAATGTAAGTTAACTACATGCTATTTAAATTGTTGTATTTGCTTTAATAAATGCAAATGGTTATGTGTATGATTTATATCATGCTAGGTATAGATTAATTGGTGTACTAATTTATTTGTGCATTATTTATTATGGATGGATGGATTGTATGCACCGGTATGGGACGGTGGCATACTAGGGATGGATTAGTTTCAAAATACTATATCCTACCTATACGGAATAAGTGAATGGATTATAAATATAGAATCCTACTTATATTTAGTCTGTGCAGTTGAACAAGCTGAACGACTAACTGGATGCTGTGTCAAGGCTTCCAACCCTCAGGCTTTGCGACTGCATTGTTCTTGAAGGACACTAAAACGCCTGCATTGTTCTTGAAGGACACCAAAAAGCCTCTGAAAGGTTCTCGGGGTGTTGAGAACAATCCTCGCCGTTTCATTCACCGGACAGTTGGTCTTGAAGATGTTAAGTTGATAAAGAATGCCATTAACATTGTAAGTTTTTATTTATTCTCGAAAAATTATATTTGCTGTAACAGACATCTTTTGCAATACTCAAAGCCAGGGACGGGAGCAAGAAAATATGGAGTATATATATATATATAATATAACAATTATAAAATTCAAAAAACAAAAGTAAAAAATTACTTATTCAAATATGCACGTTATAGAGTGCGGGCCAACTCAAGGGGCACGTGCCTCCAGGCCTTCATTGGCTTTGTCCCGGTCACACTCACAGTCTCTTGTGAGTTCATGAGGATGTGTCATATTTTTTATTTTTTTATTTTATGAATGTTGCTATTGTGGCTTGTGCAAGAAATAGAAGTACTCTTGATTTATTGGGTTAATTTTATTGATACGCTCTCAGGTTTGGCCAAATATTATATTGAATCATCTTTCAAAAATAACTAACATTTGCATTACAAATGTTTGGTCCATTTTTTAGGGGTACACGCGGTTCGGTTTGGACCGGATTGGAAGTATTTTGGGATAAAACCATTTATAACGGTTCCACAATTTTTGAAACTAGACCGAATCATAATGTCCATGGAACCAAACCAAACCAACCCACGAAAAATCGGTTTGGTTCGATTCGGTTTGTTTGTTTCAGTTGATTTCCTTTTATTTTATTTTAATTTAAGGGGGCAAAGTTTTTTTTTTTTTTTTTAAAAAAAATCAACTAACATTGATATAACAAGTAAAAAAAAAAAAAAAAAAAAAAAAAATTAAGAAGAAATAAAGGAAACAAAATTGAGATATATTTGAAAGGAAAGAATATTAAGATATATTTGAAAAGGGAAATTTGACTTTTTTAAGAAGAAATTTAAAGAACAAAAGAGAGAAAGGGGGCACATGTGAACTTTACTTGATTTAGGTTTAGGATATGATATATATATATATATATATATATATATATATATATAATATAGTAACGGTTCGGTCCGGGCTGGTCCGGTCTAGCACAACCCTAAACCAGGACCGGACCGAAAAATTACGGTTCCATAATTTTGGGTTTAGGATCGGACCAAACCGCTATACAACTAGCCCAAACCGCCCAATTCAGTACAGTCCAGTCTTGTTTTTCAGTTTAACTGATTTTCTGAACACTCCTACCATTTTTCACTTACACCCCAAAAGTTACTTTTTAAGTGTGTCAAATACCTTTTTGCATGTAAAATGACATTACTATCCTTCTAATTATATGTTGACTTAAAAAAGATTGAAATGACTTTAATACCCTTTGACCTTCATTATATAAATTTAAAATTATTCTTTATATATATATATATATATCATTTTTAAAACAAACCAAATTATAATTATAAATTTTTAATTATTTTTTAAAACCAACAAATTATAATTATAAATTTATAATTATTTTTTAAAACCAAATTATAATTATAAAATTATAATTATTTTTAAAATTATTCTTTATATGTATATTTCTCATCATGTACACCAAAATATATATATTTCTAGAGAAAATAGTTAGATGAAGAGTTTTGAGAGTGACAGAGTAATAAATGACAGCAATTTGGTTATTTCATGCTTTTGACATTGTTAATTTCACTGAGAGGGCATCAGTGAAATTAACCCTAATTTATTTATAATATTTAGCATGTTCAAATTCAATTTTACATTTTCTGACATGTTTGATCAATTATTTATTTCTTCTAGAAGGGCTTATTTTGTTGCATGTACATTTGCTCATGAATTTCCATACGATCAACGATGTGGTGGTTGGAGTCACACAAGCTGCTTTGTCTCGATATCTAAACAGGAGATATGGTAAGTTTTTGCACCTGTGTAATTCAAGTTTTTTGAAAACAATTCTCCAGAATCTAAAAAATTAGAAAAATATTTTTAAAAAACTGTCAAAAGAAAGGTACATTTTTTTACTTGAATGTCTTATTGGCACATGAACTATTGAATGGTTATCATAAAGCATCCCATCCACCTTGTTGCACCCTCAAAATTGACCTAAGAAAAGCATTTGATACTTTACATTGGCAGTTTATCCTTGATGTCCTGTCATTGTTTGGTTTTCCACACTAGTTTATTCATTGGATTGCGCAGTGTATTACCACTCCTTCATATTCCATATCCCTTAATGGATAGTTGTGTGGTTTCTTCAAAGGAAAGAGGGGTGTCAGGCAAGGCAACCCCATCTCTCCCCAGTTATTTGTTCTTGCAATGGAAGTTCTATCACTGGCCCTTGACAATGCAATCTCACAAAGCAATAACTTCAAGTACCATTGGAGATGTAGGAAGCTCTCACTTTCACACTTAGCATTTGCAGATGATATCATGTTGTTCTCCTATGGTGATGTTGCATCTGTTGAGGTTTTGAATAATGCAATCAACAATTTCCTTAAGTTCTCTGGACTCTCCATCAATTGCTCCAAAAGTCATGTCTTCTTTGCTGGGGTTAACGCCCAAACTAGGATCAGCATCTCATCTCTTCTACAGTTTGAGATTGGGACACTTCCAATCACATACCTTGGGTTGCCTTGAACCTCATCTGCTATCAATGCCAATGACTGTCAAACCTTAATTCATAGAATCACATCAAAAGTTAGTAATTGGACCTCTAGATTTTTGCCATATGCAGGAAGAGCTACTCTGATAAAGTCAATTCTTTTCTCCATTCAAGCCTACTGGACACAAGCATTTGTTCTCCCCATGAAAGTCATTGACCAAATCAACCAAATTCTAAGGAATTTCTTCTGGTCTGGAACTGACCTTAAAAACACTGGAGCTAAAGTGGCTTGGACTGCTATTTGTAGGCCAAAGAATTTTGGGGGTCTTGGATTTCCTTCACTTGAACTCACTAATAGATGGTCGAGCTTGAAGCACCTATGGAGACTATGCTCAAGAAAAGAAAGTCTTTGGGTTGCATGGACTTTCAGGTACCTTGTCAAGGCCAAAACCATTTGGACTGTCAAAGCTTCATCCTCTAGTTCAGGATTTTGGAGACGACTTCTCAAGCTGAGGGATATGGCTAGGGGCTTAGTTAGACACAGAGTTGGAGTAGGGGATTCTACTAGTTTATGGATGGATTTTTGGCTGCCAAATGGTCCTATTGCAACACAACTTGGGCTCACTGATGTGGAAATTCTTCAACTGGACTCTCAAGTCAAAGTTGATAGCCTAATTTCCAACAATCAGTGGGTCGTTCCAAGCTCTCTTCAGTATGTACCTTTTTTCCATTCACAAGAATTTGCCCTACAACTTCAAAGTATCCCCTCTCCATCAAATGAGATTGATCAAGTTCACTGGTTGCCAAGTTCAGCATTTGATTATTCACACAAGCTTACTATGGTGTATTTCTCCCCTCCCTCTCTGGTTTTTGCTTGGGAAAATCTTATATGGTTCAAATACCATATTCCCAAACATGGATTTATTGCATGGATGGCTCTTAAGGAAAGATTGGCAACATTGGATACCAAACCTATGCTAAAGAAACATTATACAAATGCTTGCCACTTATGTCTTGCAGAGAGTGAATCATTGGACCACATTTTCTTCAAATGCCAATTCAGCAACATTGTGTGGGATTTTGTTCAGCACGCAGCAGGGTTCTACATCAAGCCAGACACTTGGAAGGATCTTGTAGCTTGGTGCTCTTCAGCGTGGACTCAGGAGCATTTCATTACCCATAAGTTACTTCTCTCATGTGCCATCTACTACATATGGCAGGAAAGGAATTCAAGAGCTTTCAGGAACAAAACAGCTTCTGCTCTTCATATTATTCATCTCATCAAAGGGTATATCAAAGCAAGGTTTGCCTCACTCAAGTTAAGAAATAGTGCTGAGTTATGCAAAATCAATTCAGTGGAGGCAATGCAGCAACTCTTCTTGCAAGGATGTTCATTTGCGTCTGGTCAATCATGGTTTCTAATATGATATGGATCTGTTCTCAGTACAGGTGCTTGTAGCTCACAATGAGCTGCAAAGTCTTTTGGTTGGTTTTGTCTGTCCCATTTGTATGTAGTAACTGTTCTATGTTTGCTTGGTTTAGTCTTTGGTGCTTACCTTGGAGCTTGTTCCTGGGCTTTGTTCAATTGACTCTGTTGTTCATATTTTCTCTTTATTAAAGCTTACCCTTTTAACCAAAAAAAAAACCTTGAGTATATGTATTTTTTTTTTTTTTTTGAATGGTTATGAGTCGCACAAATTGAATGCTCTAAATTGTTAGCTTATAGTGGTTATGGTATATTGTATACTTTACATGATCAGGTGCCGGGGAATAAAAACACACACACACCCCACCAATGATATAGACACACACGAAAATACGAAATTCCATTCAACTGCATTTTACTCTACCTAATTAGTTGTTGTACTTATGCCACCCGCTACAACGCATGGATCATAACCGTATTATGTAACATATATCGTATCCCTAATAAATACTTTTTTCGATTTGACAGGTGAGATTATGAAGGAAAAGGGAGCAATGGAGAAGAAAAACTACCTTCCAAAGAACTTTCGCCTTAGAGCAACCTTTTTCATCAACATAAGACCATTCGTAGGGATTCATGTGAGTGCTCGTCCGACAAATATATATATATACAAATATATATATATATATATATATATATATATATATATATATAGTTAGACCTTTTACCAAGGAAATTTGGTACAGGAGTCCTGAATTTATACCTAATACAATACCTAAATGGGACAGTTGAGACTACTGATAAAGAGAGATGTGAACGAACGAAAACTCATTCATCGCTACTGATACTTGGTGATCTGGTCTAATTCAAACTTTTTGATTAAAAAAAAAAAAATTAGATTTTTAAGTGTGCACAATTTTATACAGTAGGTTTTATTTATTTATTTTATTTTATTATTATTATTTTTTTTAACTTTACCCTTCAGTTATTATACACATTATGGTTATCACCAACTCTATAATGTATTTTCATTGCAATTATAATTTAATTAATTTGGAAAATTGAATAAGAAACTCGTGCTAGACTCAAGAATTTGCATGCATGCAGGCTCTGTTTGATATGATGAAAAAGGGTACTAAGGTAAGATGGGGCAACACGATCGGCTATGTCCTCCTTCCCTTCACCATTGCATTGCTGGATGACCCATTAGATTATGTTCGTGAAGCAAAAAGTGTTATTGATAAAAAGAAAGCTTCAATTGAACCTGTATGCACATACAGAATTACTAAGCTAATTATCAAGTTCTTTGGCATTAAGGTACGTTTGGTTGAAATGCTATCTCATTATAAAAACAATATTTCAATTTCAATCCTATATATCTATATACACACACACAAAATTGTTAAGTACTTATCAATTCACTTTCTTCTTTTCCTTTTTGTTTTTTAGGCTGCAGGTGTTCTCAATTACAAAGTTTTTTCCAACACAACATTATGGTTCTCCAACGTACCTGGACCCCAAGAAGAAATTGCATTTTGTGGGCATTCAATGGCCTACTTTGCTCCCAGTTGTTTTGGCCAACCCAATGTAAGTTGTGCTTTTTAATCAAATTTTCTTTTTAATATTTACTCCATATAGCATCAAATTCAGTTATATATATATATATATATATATATATATATATATATATATATAATTTCATAATTGAGTTACATCACAAATTCATTTCAAGTGTTTTCAAATGTGGGTTGCAGGCATTGATGATTCATGTGGTGAGTTATATAGACAAATTGACCTTCATGATATCAGCTGATGAAGGAACAATTCCGGATCCACAACAGCTGTGTGATGATCTTGAACACTCCCTCAACCTCATCAAATCGGCTGTCTTAGCTAAAGATCGATCAGTACTGCATCAAGAATGAATGACTAGCAAGATCATGCGTGAATGCGCGAGTATGCATGCATGTATTCATATATCCATCACACAATTCATCGCATGTCGATCTACCTGCAAGCTGCATACATGCATGACTTCTGTTATATTAGATTATTTTACATGTAATAATTGTTGGAAATAAACTTGATTTTAGAATTTTAGTATTAATTAGTAGTATTTTAAAGTATTTGGTGTACTCATGTTAGTAGGGTAATAAATGGTCTTGATGGTGAAAGTTATATAAATCAAGAGGTGTGGGAATTAAACCTTATAAATACCATGTTAGTAGGAGTAGTGGGAGTTACGCATAATGGTTATGTTAGTGTGAGTAATTGAGCACTTAAATGTAATTGTTACACCTTTGTTCATGTGGATTATATATTCATGTACTCTAGTCAAATACTAGAATAAGTTGGAGAATAAGATGAAATAATATGAGTAGAATATAATATATTTCTAAGTGTTCTTTTCCTCAATTCCTCTTCCATATTATTGTGTTGTGTGTGTCTGTAGCCCGTCCACTATTTCCAACAAAGTGCTATCCGAGAAAAAACTAACAAAGTAGTTTCAGAGCCTAGGGGTGGCCACGGATCGGATTAGGCATCAATCCTAATCCGATCCGCTCGCAACGGATTGGGAGATTTTGAATCCGCCACCAATCCGTTAGTCCACGGTTCAGATCGGTGAAATGACAGATTGGATCGGATCCAATCCACGGACTGGATTTTTCAAATTAGGTTTTGATTTGGTGAAGGAGACGGCAGCAACAGATAAGATTTGTAAGTTTGTAAAAGTCCTTCAAGGATTCTCCAGGCTTCAAGAAACAATACATGAAAAGGCAATCAATTCAGAGACCGATAAGAAAGATTTTTTTTAGAAAAAAAGAAAAAGAAAAACGACATTCAAGTGCAAGAAAATTTCAATTCCTCGTGCAAGACCAAAGACCTTATGATGTAAAGATATTTACATACGATTCATGAATTGGAAATTAATATTTTTCTAATCCAAATCATATCTACAAAGAATAAAAGGAGGACCATAGGCATTCTCTGAGAATCAGAAAGGCCAAGACTTGCTCTGATCTCCAGGCCCATTTTGATTTAGTGAAGGAGACGGCAGCAGATCAAAAGAACTGAAGAAGAGTAGTGAGGCGGCCGCTTTCTCTTTGGCTTCTTTCAGTCTTTGCTCTTCTTTAGCTAGGTTTAGGTTTTATGAAATAAAAAGTCTGTATGTATAATACTTACCAAAAAAGAGAAAATAAAAAAGTAAGATATGTCACTTTATATATATATATATGTATATATATATATATATATATGTATGTATGTATGTATGTATATATATGTATGTATGTATGTATATTATATGCTGGTTACGAAAAATGGAAAAAGTAAAGATATAAGATATTATGTATGTATGTATGTATGTATATTATATGCTGGTTACGAAAAATGGAAAAAGTAAAGATATAAGATATTTACTTTTTCCATTTTTTGTAACCAGCATATAATATACATACATACATACATATATATATATTACGGATTACCCATGGATTGGTCACGGATCGGATCGGATTTTTGACAGCTTAATCTGTGATCCGATCCGTGAACTACGGATTCAATTTTTTTGAATCCACCACCGATCCGTGAGTCTAGTAATCCGATTCGATCCGTATGGATCGGATCGGATTCTCGGATTTTTTGCCCACCCCTATCAAAGCCTAGCTAGAGATCCTGAAGGTCTGACGAAGTTGATCCTAAAAGGTTCAACGTTTTGAAAAAAACATGTTTCTCCTTGATGATGATGAATCCTTGATGATGATGAAGATGAGAAAATGATGTTCTCTAATTACAAGAACATGAGAATCATTATGACAGCATACCTCAAAGCATGTGATTTGTGGGATGTAGTTGGAGAAGAGCCAAATAATGGCATGCCTAACAAGCTTCTTGAAAAGAAAGAAGAAAAGGCATTGGTAGTGTTGCAAAAGGCAATACATCAAGAAATTTGAGAATATTTTGGAAAGTCCAAAACTCTAAGTTATGTTTGGAAAATGCTCAAGGCCATCACTTCTAATCATAGAGGTGAATCACTACCCATAGAGTATTGAATACAATGTTTTGAGGATGATGAGTTTACGAAAGATGATGTAATACCCCTATATTTTGGAGGAATTATTTAATTAAATTAATTGAATTTAAGTGATTTATTTATTTTCTTGAATTCTTAATTATTTAATTGATTAAATGGTGTTTTTATGTATTTTGTATTTAATTGTAATTTGTTTAAGTGGTATATTTTTATTTGATTTGAATGTGATGGTTATTTCGTGATGTGGTGTGTTGATGTGTGTTTGAATGTCATTATTTGAACGTTTGGTGGGGCTTGTTTGTGTCTATTCTTGTATATATGTTATACTTTTAAAATTTTAATTGATTATTTATTTAAATTGGAATGGACTGGTTGTAGGGAGTTTGGACCAAAGAATGTGGTATTGGGCTTGATGAAGAAGCCTTGATGGATTAAATAATTAAGACCCATGCAGCTATTAATGGAGATATATATATATAAATTAAAGGGGAATTTATAAATATATATGGAGATATATATTTTTACCTATATTGGATACTGTCAGCTTTTTATAAGGATTAGGGTTAGGCTGGTGTGTATGTGTGTGTGTGTGTATATATATATCATAGAGGGTTTACGTGAGAAAAGAGAGAAGAAAAAGAAACAGCCGAGAGATAGGGAAGGGAGAGCCGAGAAAGAAAAGAAGAGAGGAACAGAAGGGGAAAAGGGTGCCGAAGGCAAAGCCGGTGAATCTTGCGGTTGGTTTCGTTTCGAAACCAGCAAGCGAGTTCTTTTCTATCTCTACTTTTAGAACTCATAAATTCTACACCTTTAGTATCAAGATCTTAGATTGTAATTATCCGAAAAAAAAGATCTTAGATTGTATTTGCATGTTAATCACCTAGACATAGGGTTACAAACATGTAATCGGACTGTGTGTGTATATATATGGAACATAATTTGGCTGAATCTATGTTTGTGTTTTTAGCTTGCGTTTGTATTAGGACTTCTTAGAATTAATTAGGACTGTTCTCATATGAATCAGAGGCAAAACGAGTGAATTACAGTCCACAGTGAGGAAGTTTGATCTTGGCTGAACACGCTCTGACCGCGATCTATATGGATGAGCAGCGTTAGAAAAGAAGTATTTATTGCAACAAGCAAGCTATTGGCCCCATTCAAAGTACGGATGAGTTTGTTTTCTTGTTATAAAAACATCCATACACTCTCATTCATGCGTCAGGATTGCGGTAGTCTTATTATGACTTATGGCAGGAAGAACCAGTATTGGGGAAGGCAGCCAAATCCAGCCGGCAGAGTTAGGGAAGAAGCCAACTGGTTGTGGAAGTGTACCTGTTACTACACTATTTGATCCTGTTCAAATTCTACACAATTGGTTCATCACTTATTGTGGTGTATCACGACATGTGGTTATATGCCCTATCCCGCAATTATTATAAATAATATATTATGACACGCGGTTATATACTCTATCCCACACAATTGTTACAGGCAACTTGGTTACGAGATTATTATATATATTTTTATCCCAAATTTATTAATACAAATTTTGGACAACATTATTACACGTATTATATCTTATCTCACAATTGTTATAAACAAGTTGGCTGTGTTAATTATACATTTTATCCCAAAATTTATTATAACCAATTTTGGATAATGTAATTTGTTACTTATTAATTATATATTTTTATTCCAAAATTTTTATAAATAATTTTGGACAAACTTAAATTATTTAAGTGTTAATTAAATAGGATTGTGTACACTTATATTAATGTGTTATTGATTATGGAGTCCTAGAAATGGTTATTACCCCTTCTACAAATGTAGTGGGTTTTACCGCTGGGTGAGAATTGGTGGGAATTAAATATAATGTTATATTGGGTTAATTGTGTAATTTACTTGTTATATAATACCATATGTAGGTATTAATAAAAAAATATAATTAAATCAATTAATACATTGTTCATTGTTATTTATCATGTGTAAAGGTATTGTATGTTGGTGGAAATCTTGGTAGGAAAATTTATATGATTTTATTCATTTTTAATTAATACATCCGTTTATTTATTGAATGATATTTTGTGTATTTATTTTATTGTGTTACGTGGTTGATTCGGAGGCATGGATGAGTTGCCAAATACTTAAATATATTGCCTTATGATTTGTATGAATAAATTACATACATGGGAAGCATGCATAGATGAGTTGCTAATTAACGGTATAAATAAATATACTTGTGGAGGCATGGTTTTGAATTGCCAATGTATAATAAATATATTAGTAAGGGCATGGTTTTTTTTGAAAGATAAAGATCAATTTCATTGAAAAAAGAGGATACAAGGCTAGCAATAGCTAACCAGATGGATGATGGGCCAAGCCCATAAGAACATACAAACATAAATAAAAGAAGAAGATAGCCCACGAATTATGCCCATAGTGGAGTGAGACCAAAACAATGGTAGACCATAAAGACTACCCCAAATTCCGATATAAAGGAGAAGAACTCCAATCAATTTATCATCACGGTGCCTGATCCGGTGGCTCTGGAGATGTCCCATTTTTCTGCAATCCTTAATGCATTTGGAGTATCTCTAATTGTGGAGGTGAGAAGTCTGCCCCTAATTGATTCCAGGGTTTGGTGGAGCAGAGCGTTGGCTGTGATGGCTTTCTTTTGAAAGATTCTTCTATTTCGTTCAGTCCTAGTGTGGTAAACTAGTGCTGCCATGCTCAACTTCGAAATAATGTGGCTATGGGAGTTTGAGATGCCCTTCCAGTGGTGAGCTGCCCAAGTGATAAAGCTAGACCATAATGATGGTTGAATATAGAACCCGCATTGTACTTGAAGAAATGTCCATAAAGGCTTGATGAATTGGCATTGGAAGAAGAGGTGATCATGTGATT